TGATCTTTTTGTACTCGCTGACTGAGAGCTCGCAGAACAAAGGGATGCTAAAAATATGCCAGTGTATTTGGTAAAAAGGTTTTTCTTTTTCCCCCTTCATGTTGTCCTAGCAAAGAGGGTTTTGGGAGCCCTTTCCATAAAGCAGCTCTGAATGCAACAGTGTCACTTTTAAGAGGTCATTTGTTTTCTCTGCACACCTGCTTGCACATCTGTGAGAGTTTGTACCGTTTTATCACCTTTAAATGCATCTTGAAGATTTTGTAAATGATTCACGCCTGCACTGGCCAGCCCAGCAGACGAATCCACCGGCAAGTTCTCTGAATGTTGAAGACGCACGAGGAACAAAAAAGATAAACTTCCGAAGAACGGAGAGTATAGGCTCACAAGCGCTGAGACGCAGGAGGAAAGCAGCTTGTCTTTGGGCTGAATGCATAATTAATGTCATGAAGATGATCTGTTGGCTCAACCAGTTGTGGGAATAACAAAGGTTTGCAGCACAGCTAAATGAGGAAAGCTTTGTCTTTTGGCAACGGTTCTCCATTTACAGCGCCTTGCAAAAGTAGTCATGTCCCTTAAAACTTTCTCACCATTTTTCATGCTACAACCACAAATGGACGCATTTGTATTAACCCTCCTTTATCAGTGTGTCTGTGCATCCTTAAAAAGTCTTAAATTAAAGCCTTAAATTCATTTAAAAAGTAAGTTGGTCTTAAATATATTAATCACTGCTTTTTTACCCTCTCAAGACTTTTCTGTCAGGCAAAAGTTTGAGTCACACTCAGACATTTTCATTGCCTTCTGTGACTCAAGACAGTTGAGGCTAACAGTTGAGGCTATACCGCTAACTAGCTGCTAACATAACTCTTGCTAGCTTATTCCTAGCTTATTTGCATTTGTCATGGATAAGTGCAAGTTTATTGGCTGTTGGCTGGACAGAGTTGATACATTTCTGTGGAGTTCAGGTCTTAAATTCCAGTCAAAATGGTCTTAAATCTTAAATTTGATTTGGTGAAACCGTCTGAAACCAAGGTTTATTCTAATAAACCTCAATGAAAAACTGTCAACTTCTGTTCAGAAATCAGCCTATTTGTATCTAGACAAGCACTAGATACAAATAGGCTGAATATGTAGCAAAATGTATATAATAGATATAAAACTGTCAGCATTTCAACCATTTATTTCCCTTCCACTTTAAAAACATGTCTTACTTTCTGTTGGTCTGTCATGTAGAATCCAGATAATTAGACACATTAAAGTTTATGACAAAATATGAAAATGCTCAAGGGGAATGATTACTTTTGCAAAGCTCTGTGTATTATTTTTAATGTTTTTTGTTTGTTTGTTTTTTGTCTTTTACAAAAACCATTGCATGTGGTAAAACTATCCAGCATCAAATAACTAAATGTCTACTGGTGAACTTGTTCTCAAATATGACAGTGGGAGTTTCGATGTTGTTGCGTCCGGTATTTGTCCACTTGCAAAGAACACGATGCTTTTTGAAATGGCGTGCATTGCTGTGTCAGAGTCCGCATTTCATATGACATGCCATTTACAGTTGAGCAGTGCTGAGGTTGGTATTTATTTGGTGTTTACTCTCCTGGCTGGGGTGTCTTATTTTTATATAAAGAGATGCTCTCTCATTGGCTGTAGTTTTTTTTTTTTTTTTTCTACACATGCAGTGAAAAACAAAAGGACCAAATCTGAATCTGCTTATCGTGGATGTTGTGAATAATACATTTCATCCCCTCCTTAGCCCATTTAATCTGCCTGGATGCACCTCTCTTCAAAAATGCACACATATTCAGTCGCTAAGATCCCTTCACATGAATATTTTTCTCTCTGACAGAGAGAGTAATTAATCATTTTGGCATCGTCTCCAACATAAACAACAGTCAGCCTGTCCGTCCTGCGATCAGCCACCCACCACTGACAACTCGTGCCATTGTGTCAAACACAGCACTCAGCTCAGCTTCAGGACGGTTGTGTGTGCATGACAGCGAGAATATGACCCCGTAAGTTCCCTGGAAGCATAAAATAATCATATCTTATAAAATACTTAAAAGGATACTTCCAAGCACACTTATTTACATTTTAGCTGTATTTAATCATGCACTTTGATGTGTAACATGAACGGCTTCATAATCAGAGGCCTTTTATTTTGTAACGGAATGCCATCGTTTGCCCACTACACGTTATTTAATGCTTGTTTATGCAGTATATTGTTGCTCCAGCAGCTTGAAAATGGTTGTGCCATCCACATGCGGTTATTTGTACAATGTATTCTTATTGTGTTGCATGTAAATAAAGTAAATAATGTTATCGATTTCAAATTAAAGATTTCTAGAAAAGCCAACTTGCAGCGACTTTCAGTTCTTTTCAGGACTGCAATAGTAAAACATCTGTAGTTAGCCATCGTTTGGATGTGACTTTCTCCGTCACAAACTCAAAATTACGATGTGTAGCTCGCCAGAGTTAGAAATGTATATCTCAGTACAAAAGTACAATTTCTGTGCTTGTCCATGTTCAAGCTGCTTCTTCAAGTAAAATAATTTTATATAAATTCCACTGAATCTACTAAATTGGAATTGTCATTACAACACTGCCACCATATGGCGTAACAGGTTTATTGCATATTGTTTACTTGCAAGTTCCTCTTGCCAAAACTGCGAGTCCATTGAATACAAATTTTTATAATTTTGTAAGTTAAAAGTCTGAATTTCATCATTTTGTTAAAGGGACAGAACTCTACTGTAAAAATGATGGGGCGCTTTACCAAAGATAAATTCAGTTAGCACATTGATTTATGAGGTTCTTTTTAAACACGTTGGCTATGAAGTAAAAGTGGCGTTTCTTTAAAAAGAACTTATTTAAGTAATTCGGTTTAAAAAAGAAAAGCTAATTTATTTTTAGGTGCAAAACGTGATAGGCCTACATTTCAAGCAGCAGGACAGAGTAACAGAAAAATCAGCAGAATATTTTACTACCGTTGACGTGAGAGGCGGCCATATTGAAACGTTAAGTCCACCTTGTACGTCGTAACTGGGAGTAATAAGAGTTGCTGCTGGTTAGCGTTCCAGTTGATTTTTCTGACTCGGAAGGCGGAATTTCCCATTTCCGAGTGCAACTGGAACGCAGCATACAGGGCAGGGCAGAGCTGGACAAAGAATCTGAGCTAATTAAAAGCTAAAGAGGAACAGCTGAGGCTGAATGCAACTGATTAATTAACACAAGGGAGCAAAATAAGGATTTAGTTTTATTTCTCTTAAAATCACAATTTTAAGAGAAATAAAACCCAGAGAGACAATAGCAAAATAAGATTATCATTGACGTCCTCCAGTCCGATAGGTGGCAGTGCACCCTAAGTTGGTTGCCAACCGCTAATAAAAGCCAAAAAAAAAAAAAAAAGAAAAAAACACAAGAACGACTTAGAAAGTGAACACAAGTAAACGTCCAGAAAATTACCAGAATAATAGCACAGCAGAAAACCGAAACCCAAACATCAGAACTTTGTGACAGTGTTGGTTTTTAAAAGGATTTTTAATAGAGACATGACATGTCCACCGTGTTCTGCCCTGTGCAATTATGGTGAAAACTGCTGACTTCACATTTGTCACAGTCACTGTTTCTTTGTACAAGAAGGGTAAGTGACTTACCGTACGTCACAGAGAATGCTGTATACAAAGCATAATGGGGAATAAAAACGCGTGGAAACATAGCTGAAGGAAAAGACAACTGAAGTGTTTGAAGAAGATTCCCAAGGCATGGACTGTATCCAGGACAGGAGCTACAGCATAAAACCAGACCTGAAAAAGACGACACTACTCTGCTGCACCTGAACGCACAGAGCTCCTGACAGAGTGAAGGACAAGGTAACGTCAGTCACTATGGACAGCTTCCAAGAAAAAGCCCTTCCTCACCTTGTGGAGACCCACAATTAGATCAGAGTGCTACAAAAATGGCTCCCTCTAGTGGTATGGTTCTCACCGTGCTGTTTTAATGGTTAAAAAAAGACCGCAAAAGCAGAGGTGGATAGAGAGGAAATGTCATTCAGAAAATTACTCCAGTAAAAGTGAAAAAGTATTTGACTGCTGGTACTGTTCTGATTTAGTTTGTGGAAATGACATAAACAGAGAAAATACAAAATTATGTGAAGGTACTGGTACTTCAGTAAGATTTTTTTTAAGTAAAGAGACTCAAAAGTAGCTTGTGTAATTACCTCTTCAATTAAGAAATTAAGATAAAGGAAAATGAAACTTTTTTTTAATCAGTTAAGTTATCTAATGACAGAATGTATCCTCAGATCGTATGTCCAGTTTCCATAAATCCCCATCTGATTTTGGTTGAACTTACAGCTAAAAACATTTTTAAAAAACAAACAAAAACAAAACATCACTTTATTTGAATGGCACATTTATCAACAAGTTCAAGGTGCTTTACATCATGAGAACAAAAATAATAATAAAATGTCATAAAAACAACACACAGTCACAAATCGAGAAACTAAATGCATTTTGTTAAGTACCATAATCACAATCATCAGTGCATCACAACACATGTTGGTCCATGTTCCATTCATCATGGTTCAAAAGAACTCAAAACAGGTGAGCTTTTATTTAACATGCTCTGCATGTCTTAGATGTGCCTCTATTCCAGAACGGCTGATCCAAAGGATTGGATGAGACTTCTGCATTAGTCTGTTAATTGCCCACGGATTCAATCCAGGTGTGTGGCAGAAGGGAAACTCCTAAAACATGCAGGGCAGTGGGGGATTGAGAAACACTGATTTAAAGGAGCTCAAAACATCAGTATCACAACACACCGGGCAATAAGTAGGATGTATTCAAATTTCAATTTCAAAGCTCAGATTAGTTGGTAATAAAGCGCAGTTTGCTCATTGACTTGACTGTCTGAAGCTCCATAAATTCCCTTTATTGCTCCAGGTGCCTCGTTGATATTCCAATTTAATGAAACATTAATGTCCAAGAACTACAAAAAGTTCCCCGCGAATTTTCTCCTCCTCTACGTCGGGAGCATAATTTGAATATTGAGTATTGTGACTTTAATATACCTCCATAGAGGTGACGCCATCCTTGAGCCAGCGGACATTGCCGAGTTGCGACTCGGCAGCCTCCGCCCCTATCTGGCCTGGCCCAGCCCAGCCCGGCCTGGTCCGGTCCGGTCCTGCCCATCCCGACTGCTGCTCACGCCACACATCACGGCACACAGCAGCAACACACCAGGACGCAAAGCAGCCAGCTTCCCCCAGCCGCTTCACAGCAGGGATCCGTGCGCACAATATGGGCAACGTGCAGGTAGTAATCTTTTTTATTTTTTATCCCCCAACTTGTTCTGCTAATTTACGCACCTTTGAGTTGGAATCCACTTAAAGCGACTACTTTGATGAGTAACACTTTTTTTTTTAATAGTTCGTTTTAAAAAATGGAATTTGGTCAGTTTTACGAATAAAAATACAAATCAGAAGCCTAAATTTCACTAAAATAATACTTCAAAAAAAAAAACTCGGCTTTGTCATTAGTCTCAGCGGAAACCGCATGAAACGCAAGTGGCGCAGTAAAACAGGGAGTGTGCTCTGCCAGAAGCGGATACATCAGGGAATTTCAGATCAATAAGGCTGCATTGTGTTGACGAGAGGAAGAGGAGAGCAGAGGAAGAGGCTGCTGCTGCTGCTGGCCCCCATGACTCAGCACAGGCAGCAGCACCCTGCTCCTGCGGGAGAGACGCATGCACCCCTGATTGTTGCTTGATCTCACGATATCGTCCGAACACAATGCGGCTTCCCAGCCTCT